TTTCTCAGTCAGAGCTTCAGAATTTGTCACAATTGCAGTGTTTGGCCATGTCAGATACTGAGGCGCAGACGGCTCCCGGCAGATGCAGGCACAAGTGGGTGGTTTCAGAGAAGTCATCTGTGTCACTGAGCACAGGCTTGAGATAACCAAAATGTTGAGAGAGTATATTAGTTGGAGTAGGCTAAACTGAGGTGACAAACAGACCCAGAACATAATGGCTGAAACACAACAAAATTCCTTTTCTTGTACATGCAAAGGTCCAGAGGGAGTGTTCAGCCATTTGAGCACCCAGATTGATGGTAATTCCTCCATCTTCAACATGTGGCTTTCAAGGTTGCCTTGAGCATCAATATTCCAGTGAACCAGGGAAAGGGGAGAGCATGGAGGCCAGACCTGGAAGTGATGCAAGTCACTTCCACTCATCATCCATTAGCAGAACCAGTCTCTGGCCACAGCTAACTACAAGGGAGGTTGGGAAAATGTAAAGTAGTGAGAAACCATATACCCAGCAACTATAAAAGAAGGGCAGAATGGGTTTTGGTACACAGGCAATCTCTGTCCCTGGGAGACATAGAAAGAAAAAATCTGGATCACAAGTAATGCAGAATTGTGCAACTTTCTCCTGACACAAACAAATTCTTGCAGGCAAGTAGGCAGACAGAGCCCCAGCCAGGTAGATATGGTACAATTAAAGTGTCTGTATCAGTAGAGTTCTACCAGAGTACTCATCCTTGTTTAAAAAATAAATTTCTAACCGATATTAAAAGCAAAAACAAAAAATCCTGCTAAATTTGTACTTTTTCCGAATAGAACCATGACTTCATATTTCTTAATTCAAATATCTTATTGCATGTACTTTTCAAGTAATATCTATTTACCATGCTTCTGTTATAAACTGTCCACTTTTTCCATTGGGATGTGTGGGGAGGCATATTCCCTCACTCCCAGGACATTGCACTAAAGCTACCAAGAGAAAACACTTTCAAATCCATCTTATCTTTGTGAGGACACCCTTTAGGGATTCCAAAACCAGAGTCCTTTCACTCAAAACAAATGTGTGGGAAGCCTAAAATTCACGAGACCTGATTTTAACAGAAGATAGGAATAGCTCAGTGTGTATGGGAGTTGTCAGCCCAAACTAAGTGTTAACCCATCTACTAGGACACTGAGTTTTAGGTTTCTATTCTGAGTATCAAAAACTTTGTAAATCTAGGTTATTATAAAAACAAACTTAATTATTTTCTCACTTCACACCCAAAGCAAAGACCATCATTGCAGTAGTTTGAGGGTGGATGGATGAACAGATAGAGGGATGGACAGATTGTTAAATAATGTTTCAGACCCAGAAGGATGTTAGCAGTCATTGCTGCAGATTGGAAAGCATAAATTTGAATGAAAATAAGATGTTTTGTTCCATTTATTTTACTGGCTGGAAAAGCCAAAAGAAGGTATAAGTCAAAAACGTAGAAAAAAAAAGAAAAAGGAATTAAGAACATGACTATTCTTAGGAAGGGGACCTGAGAGTAGAAATTCAGATGAGCCTATATTTTTACAGAAAGTACACCAGGAAGTTTCCCTCCAGTAACTGACACTTTTCTCAAGGTCAGGGGCTGTGCTGTTCTTGTCTTGGTGTTCCCAGCGTGTCAGTATCAGGCAACTCCACAAGCATTCACTGACCTAATCAATTATCAATTAATATTTTTTCACACAAATCCTAACCAGTGGGCTCTTCTCTGATGGGAATCCACTTCTTTTCTCCTTCAAGAATGCTTGTCAGATCCTTCTGAAACGTCTAGAGCCCATCATTAAGAAAAATCCAGAAGGTACATGGGAAGACTGGGTAAGTGTTCCACTTTGTTTGTTACTACAAATGGGAAAACAATCCAAACCAGTGCTGAGAACACTATGGTTGTATACATCTGCACCACATAGCGACAGTTCTAAGAGTGGATTTCTGCCAAGGGGCAAGATCACCAAAGGCTGAGCCGGCTGGTCTGTGATGCGTGCCAGGTATGTATGGAGAGAGCATGCAGGGAACAGCATCACTGAGAGGAAGAATGAAAGTGTATGAAAGATACCCAGAAGGCCTTACTCACCCTGCTTAAATAAGAAAGAAGAAACAAAGACTGAGCCTTCCTAAGCCACAAAAACGTATTGATGTTTTGAGTAAGGAGGAGGAAAACTAAAAGGCATAATTGCTATTAAGTTTCAAGGGAAATGACTCATTTAATTCAACTTTACAATACCCTATATATTATTTTATTGGCACAATTATCACACCCTTGCACGCACACTTACTAGAGTTCTAACATTTAGAAATGAAGCCCAAATACCCTGTGAACTGAGTCTACATCAGGGATGTGCAGCAAGAGTCTATTTTATTTGTTTAATTCAGACTTCTGAACTCAATCAGAAGGAAATTGTTAGTCTACCAGCTGAGGGAAAAATATTATGGTGAGTTCTATTGTTGGTAACAAGGCACTATAAACAATGATCATATGTCAATTTTTATACATTGGATGTTTTCATTTCTACCTATCAGATGGTATGTTTGCTTTATTTTAACTAAATATGCCCATTCTACAGATAGAAGCTGCTTTTGAACAAAGGCTCAGTCTTTCAGCCACTGGATACTTCAGGTAAAAATTACAATAATGTGTTGACTTAGCTGAGAAAATATGAAGTAACCCAATCACTCTGGGCCTCATTTCCCTCATTTGTAAAATAAGTTTTTATTATGTGACCTCTGAGGCCCCTTCTAGGCCCCAAATTCTATGACTTCACACAGGTCTTTGAGCTATGTCCAAAGAAATATGAAATAATAAATGTGCCCCAATTGGGTAAAAAAATTTTTTTTAATGTGACTTATGTTTAATCATCATTTACTATTCTTTATTGTGGAAATATAAAAAATAATATTCTTTATAGTGAATAGTAAAAAGATATCATTAGAAATAACTTGCCACTCGATTTTACATATCTCCCTCCCTCTGCCATAAAATCTTTCTATGTTGAAGCTCTTTTTTGGGCAAGAGGAGATGGATAGGATGGTCATCACCAGTATTATATCAATTGTGCAGTATCTGTCAGTAGGAGGCCCTCAGTAAATGCATGTTAATTGAATGAAGCACAGAGAGAGGAACTGATTGTCAAATTCAGGAAGTATATGACATTAATTTAACAATATAATGAAACAAACCACCAAAATACAGAGAGAGAGAGAGAGAGAGAGAGAGAGAGAGAGAGAGAGAGAGAGAGAGAGAGAGAGAGAGAGAGAGAGANCCCTATTAGTTGAGGATAACCATTGTTAACAGTTCCACATTTATTGTTCTGGCCCTTTCTCTAAGTGTATCCACCCATCTGTATTCATACACACATGCATAAACATTAGTGTATGTTTATATGTACACGTACACAGTTATTTACCAAAATGGGACCATAATGAACACATTATTCTGCACCTTACTTTCTCTACTTGACAATAGGCCATGGCCATTTTCCTGTGTCAATAGAATGATCTACTTCATTCTTTTTCATGACTGAATAGCACTATATAATATGGATGTGACATAATTTATTTAGCCACTCCACTGTTGATACACATTCAGGTTGTTACTCATTTGTGCTATTAAAATGATGGTGCAATAAACATCTTAGTACAGATGTTCCACGGGTATATCTTTGCACTGTTGTGTATATCTGTAGGATAAATTTACAGAGCATAATTGCTTGTGCACTTGAAAACTTTTGAGAGATTCTGCCAAAAGAATGCCACCCATAAATATTGTTTTGTGCAATATTCTAGAAGGTACACAGTATGTACAGTGTGCTAGGCCAAAGACAGGCAGCCACTGGCAATTGAGATAGTTGTTGATAACACCTTTCTGCTCCTCATATATTCCAATCAGACCCCAGCCTACTTTTTACACTTCCATCCTGTTTGCTCAATATAGACCCTCTGCTCCAGCAAGGACTCTCTATGTATTGATTGTCCTTTGAGCCCCTTTGTCCTTAAATTCAATAGGGAGAACTTCCTTGTGATTAGTGATTGTCAGGGTACTTCCTACACACAAGCGACCACCTAAATATAACACAAGGAAGACAGCAGTTGTCCTAAGAGAAGTCACATCAAGTGTTCTATGGGTGCAAAGGAGGAAGACATCACATTGGCTTGGTGGGAGGGAAGTCAGGAAGACCT